GTGTGTGTGTGTGTGTGTGTGTGTGTGTGTGTGTGTGTGTGTGTGTGTGTGTGTGTGTGTGTGTGTGTGTGTGTGTGTGCATACTGACCACCAAAGCCACCATTGTTGCTTTATGAGTATGTGGTTTTGAACAGCGCTGTGTAATTTCACTTGGGCTTTGCAATCTCTTTTAACGGCTGTTCCCCTTTCCTCCAATCTGGCCAGACTCCCCATCAGATATAATGAGGGAACATGGGAGCCAAACTAGAGGTTTTGAAATGGTAATGAGTTAGACTCCCCGCTACCAAGAGAGACAGAAGGACTGATTTAGCACAGCAGAATTAGTGATCGGAAGACAGTAATAGGACATGTTTAGATGGCAGCCGTATATTTAGCTGTGGTGCACAAGAGGAACCAAATGGAGTGAGTTAAGATTTTTTAGCCCTCCACATGTACAACGTGTATTTATATAGTGAAGTGCTCTCAGACTACGTTCGTCATTACAGAAAATTACAACTTTGCGAGATTACTCTGCAGAAAAACAGACGTTCCAACAATAAGCCCCACATTTAGGATTGTTAATTGTTCTTATGGAGTTTCGGTGGCACTTAAAAAGGGATTTGTGGGAACGAAGCATAAAATACTTTTGTATATTCTATTCTTGCATCAATACTGTTTCGAGTTACTAGGCAGGTATATGTCAATTAATCTAACACAGAATTAAGACTGTTCACCTCTAGTAAAACTACTCAACTAACTACTATAAGGGGGTTTCAGGAACTCAGAAAGAGAAAGTGTTCCTGCATTGTATTTTTAATACTATGTATAACTTGCAGGTTACAACACTGAAAACTGAACTGTTGACTTCAATTAAATGTATTTTGTCAACAGATTTCACATAACTGTATTAGGTTATTTGAATGCAATAATATTATGTTCAAATAAAAAAGGCTGTTGCTTTCAACATACCTAATACAGTCATGTGAAATTTGTTGACATAATACAAGGATATCATTCAAATTTCCAGATCGGCAAAAAATCCTGGGTTTTAATCATTTGAAACAAACAAACTGTCCTATTAACGTTGCTGTCCTTCGTAAGTTAAAAGATCATGATTAATGTACTATCTTTTCTTTAGTTTGCAGAGGCAGTGTCTACATGTGTATAAAAACATATCCACTTGATTGCGTGTTCATTTACAGATGTCTGAATTAAACTTACAGAAGAGTATTGCCTTTGTACTTTGTGCATACTGAAATTGTCACCACAGGAGAATAATGAACAGCAACATAATGTACAATACCTCTCTTGAAATGTCTCTCGTGTTCTCTCATCATTGTCACAACTGACACCCCGACCACATGCTCATGACACAAAGGCTGCAGTCGAATAGTCAATTTAGCTTAGGAACCTTCCTAACCGAGTGAAATTACCCGGAAGTCCCTCAGTGGCAGCCATGATAAGTGCCGTTCGAATTCTCTACGGCCCAATCCCAAACCACTCCCTCGCCTCGACCCTACCCCTCCGTGACGGAGTGAACTCCGTCTGTAGCCACACTCGTATGGGCTCAGAACAGTCTCATAATACACACATGCACACAGAAGGATTCACACTCGTATTTCATGATCCGCAAAAGGATTCACACTTGTATTTCCGGATCCACACTTGTGTTTTTCAATGCACACACAAATGTGTTCCGTTTCATATACATGTAAATAAAATCCAAATACAGAAAAAAGTTATAAATGTTATTTTGATCAACATCATCTGTGATCTTCAGTGTTAGAACTTGAGATCTGCAAACACACGCTTCTGCGCAGTTGTCGCGTTGAGTCGTCACTTTTAGTGGTGCTGATTTTTGAAGATCCTCTTCCGTGTTCGTGTTTCCACGCTCCTGCTAATGTTCTTCCAGTTAATACGCCCAATGTCTACTGTCCTCAATTCTAAGCTCCTCTATGTTGATTCTGTGCGACCACATTTGATCACACTCTTAGAACTACAAGCGGAACTGGCCTTCTCATACTGGGTTATTAAGATCAGACGTCTGAGACATACGAAGGACCATCAATAATTCTTAGTAGGAAATATGTAAGCCAAAGGCAGGCAAACTGTCATTAAAGATGTGATTCCCTGCCTCATAGCAACAGACGACAAGAAG